TGTGGTGTTTACTCCAAACGCTCCCCCCCCCCCCCCCCGGATCCTGTCCCAGCCAGGATAATTAAGGAGGTCACTGACACTGTGGGGCCCACTCTGCTCATATTTCTTAACTGCTGTCTTAGGTTGGGCACAGTCCCCTCCGCCCTTAAGCATGCTATATAGTGAGGCCACTTCTCAAGAAGCCCAACCTCGACCCCTCCCTTCTGTCCAATTTTCGCCCAATTTCCCTTTTGCCTTTTTTATCTAAGGTTATGGAGAAACTCGTCCTTAGCCAGTAGCAGTCTCACCTGGATCGTCTGGATGTTAATACGTTTCAATCAGGTTTTAGGCCCCGTCACAGCACTGAGTCTGCATTACTGAAGGACCATAACGACATTACTATGGCCCTTGATGCCAAACACCCAGTTATTCTAGTTCTTCTAGATCTATCAACAGCCTTCGACAGTCGACCATGCAGTTTTGCTCTCCCAACTGGAACACCTCGTCGGCCTGAGAGGCGTGGTTCTAAACTGGTTTAGCTCTTTCCTGTCCACCAGAACCTTTTCTGTCATTACTGATGACTCTTCCTCGACCATAGCCCCTCTTACCTCAGGCGTCCCCCTGAAGGTAAACCTCTTCTTATCGCACAAAGACTTAGAAAAAGCTATCCATGCTTTTATCACCTCGCGACTTGACTACTGCAATGGCCTGAATGTGGGAATTTCTCAGTCTCTTCTCCGAAAGCTTCAACTGGTCCAGAATGCTGCAGCTCGACTGTTGTCGAACACCCCCAGGTACACCCACATCACCCCTGTTCTTCTCTTGCTACATTGGTTGCCAGTACAGTTTAGAATTGACTTCAAAGTGCCTCTATTTGTATTTAAGTCTATAAATGGCCTCGCTCCTCCATACCTGTCTGATCTTCTGTCTATTTATGTTCCGCACAGAGCTCTGCGCTCCTCAGAACATCAGTCCTTGGTTGTCCCACGGTCTCGATCCAAAAAATGGGGCGACCGTTCTTTTGCTGTGCATGGCCCCAGACTCTGGAATTCTCTACTGCTAGAGCTGTGGTCCATAACCGAGCTGGCAGTTTTTAAGTCAACTCTAAAAACCCACCTTTTTAGACAGGCCTTTGGTGTTTAACCCGTCTTACCTCCTCCGAAGAGACATTTTTAACTTGTTGTTTTATTCTAGTTCTATCCTGATGTAACTGACCGTAAAGCCCCCTCTCAGATTCATTATCATCAACTCAGCATAAGGGCGCTGAAGAGGTTTGCCCCGGAATGTGAATGAGGAAGCGTTGTATTGTTACATTTTCCCGGTTTCATTTCACTCACCTCATGACCTCCGTGGAGGATGTAAGCAAACCATAATGTCGTTCGTACTGGGGATTACCGCTCTTTTGCTGTGTATGGCCCCAGACTCTGGAATTCTCGACCACTAGAGCTATGGTCCATAACCGAGTTAGCGGCTTTTAAGTCAAATTTTTAGACAGGCCTTTGGTGTTTAACCCGTCTTACCTCCTTCAAAGAGACGTTTTTAACTTGTTGTATCCTGATATGGAAGTTTTTTTTTTACTGTTTCTGCCTTAAAATTCTGTGTTTTATTTTGCTTAAGTTTTATTGTTTTAGTAGTGTTTTTTTAGCAGTTATACATGTTCTGCTGTGAAGCACTCTGGGCTCCGCTGGAGTTGTAAAGCGCTATATAAATAAAGTTTTATTATTATAATTATTATTTTACAAGACAAAACATATCCCACACCATTTGTCGGTTCTGACGCCCTACGTCTGTTGTAACGGGCTTGAATCGTGTAGTGTGAACCGGGCACAACAGTCCAGTGTACATGTGTGTATAAGAGAAGCTGTACCATAGCCATGTTGGCATCCTTTTTCTTCTTCTTCTTCCTCTGTAGACTCGTCTTGAGAGGTCGCAGGATCTTGCTACAGTAACTGGCCATCCACAAGACTATGCACGCCGTCTGTGCCGGGCAACATTCATGTGTTATAACATGACATTCAGCATTGGCGGGAAATCTAAACTGAAGCGTGTGGAATCAGAGGCCTCACCTCAACAAAGAAGATGAGATTTTCTAATAAGGAGGGCTGGGTTTGTAATTTGGCCTCTTTCATTTCCAATAAATCGCCTTTGCATTTAGTCAGTATTTCTGTGGGCAGAAAAAGGAAACGTGAAGATGCAGAATAACGTCTACTGCTCAGTGTGTGCAAGAAGATGAAAACCCACCTCGAAGCTGTACTGCTAATGATTTGAAACCGTTACAGATCTGAGTTTGAAGCTCTGATGAATCATCTAGGAAGGTACAAAGACAGAAGATGTGTAAAAACCTTGACAATATAAAGGTGGTGTGGTTGATCTGATGCCTTCTCTTACCAAGTCCAGCAGTCTCCAGCTCCTGCAGGTGGACAGACAACTGGAGGGCTGCGGCCTGACACTGACAGCTCCCGCTGGACAGAGCTGAGGCCAGGCGGGTGGAGGGTGGTCCCAGGAACGGACGCTGCAGCAAAACGTCAACATTAATGTACTCTGCATGTTTCCAATATTAATGTACTGCAGAGGTTTTAACTTGTACACAACATTCCCACAGAATGAACCCAACAAATAAGTCATTTTATGGAGTATTATAAACACACATCTGCTCCTAATCCGACCCAAATTAGGAGCAAGTTTTAAGAGATGTGAGGCTGATCCAGGGCTGCCTTGGTTAAACTCAGGTTCTGAATAAAGAAACTGGTGGATGAAGAAATCTTTATTCCACAGGTGATTTATGTGTGGGAGAGATTCAGGCTGGTGTTAGCGTTGGTACATGATGAGTGACTCAGCAGGACTGGTTGGTGTGTGTCTACCCTGTGTGTGTGTGTGTATAAAGCACACCTGTACACGTTGTTCTGCCATCTGGGCAGCTGTCTGCAGAGTCTGGTTGAGCTGGGAGAGCAGGCTGCTGTGGACTGAGGGCTTGTCTGCAACGCCGTTCTCGTTGATCATCTCGGAGTTTTGTTGCGAGGGCACGTGTCCCAGGGCGGCCAAAGAGGCGACAAGTCGGAGTGTCAGAGAGCGTATCCTCAGCCACACGATCTCGTCCTCTAGAGACCGGCGCCGGTGCTCGTCAGTCAGCTGTCTGTAGCAGAGAGGGGAATGCGAGGGATCTGTAGCACGAGGGCTTCTACATGCACCTCTTTCTGCAAAAACATCATGAGAACAATTGTGTACCTCTCCTTAGGGTCCCAGCTGGTAAAAACTGTTAGGTCTCTGTTGTCCCTCATATTATCCCAGGGGATGTCATCCTCCTCTGCAGACAAAGACATGGCCTTCACACTCTCCTCCAGACTCAACACACTGGAAAAGAATGTACAAAACAACAGCAAAGTGAAGAACTTAGCTACGCATGTCGCTATCATTCAGCCTGTGTTTAGAGCGTTTTCTCACATATCAGCCTCGAGGAACAAGTCCAGCAGCATCCTCTCAGTGCGGACTTGGGCAAAGTGCAGCGATTGGTTCAACCTGTTCCTGAGAGCAATGAACTCTGGGATTTTCTCAAACGCTCCGTACTTATATGCCTGGATGATGTACTCTGAGGTCTGGTGGCGGGGTTAGGGTGGACAGAGAGGAGGAGGGAGACAAGCAGAGAAGTTAAAGAAAAAAGTAACATGAAAGCACGAGACTGTGGGTTTGAAAGTGTGAGAAATCAAATCAACGGGCAGGACAGACTTACATCTTTCTGGTTAGAGTGGAAAAACCTGAGGGAGAAATTACAGGACTGGGAGGCTGCAGCGAACTGACCCAGTGACTCAGCATAACGAGTTAACAGAAACCTGGAAATGAAAACATATAGTACACTCAAATCTCTGGCTGGTCTGTCCTCATCTTTACCTCAGCGTAGGAAATCGGTGTCAGAAATTATCTTAGACTCAGGAGTAAAAACGTTTTATCAGCTTCTTCAATGAGGTGAACACTCCTGTCTCTGCCGACAGTTACAAGAGCATGAGGTGCCATAACTTGTTAAGAGCTGACAGGAGACATGAACAGACGTGGAGGAGGTTTTAACTGACGAGCTTATTAAAAAGATTTGCCTCAGTGGGACATTAATTAAATTGACTTAGTTCCAGCAGAAGCCCTGCTGACTTCCAGTACTTTAATTATGTTGCTCTGTTTTATTTTTATATGCCACCACTACACATCACTGAGTGTCTCCCCTCTCCTCCTTTTCTCTCTCTCTCTCTCCTCTATCCACTCACCCCAACCAGTCGAGGCAGAAGGCAGCTGTTGTGAACTGGCACTATGCAAATAAAACTGAAGTGAAACTGACAAATAACCTCAAATACACATAAATGTTGAATTGTACTCTGAATGTGACCATTACCTAGTATTCCACACTGCAGCTGTGAGGACTGACACGCTCTCTCAGGTGTCGTTGCTCTGCTGAAAACCAGCGTAGGAAGCTTCATCTGCAAGTCTCAGCGCTACTCTGAGGTCGCAGTGTTTTAGTCTCCAGTCCACTTCCAGCTCGGCTCTTACAAGGGTTTTCACATTAGGCACGACCGTCTCGTGCCCCAGCACACTCAGGTGTGTACACAGTCTGACAGAGCAGGTGGCAGAGTGCACATTTGCAATCTGCTGAGAAGCAGCAGTAATCACTCACGTCATCAACTGGGTGCATGTAAATACTTCCATAAATCTCAGAGTTTGTGTCTCTGTATGTTTTTGTTGCCCAAATTTCAAGCAAGCATTTCACTCCTTCGTTACTCCATAGATTGTTTCACAGACGTGTTAATGTTTAAACTGACAGTTGAACAGTTTTGACTTCACATGGCGGCCCACTTCCTTGTTTGAGCACAGCTGCGTTCACACCTCCCACAGACTGTACTCGAGTACATATGAATCATGCTCTAGACCTCCTCTTAAAACGGACTCGGGCACGGCGCCCGAATCAGGTATACTTGTGTTCACACTAGTGTTGCACGATATACCGGTACTAGTATGGTACCGCGGTACTGAGGCATTTAAAATGGTACTATACTGCATTTGGATGGGACCGGTACTTGCAGCACCGCCGGCAACAGAGGAAAACAGAGCAGGAAACAGCTTCCTCGTCCTCTGCTCACTGAGCAGTATGGACTGGAGCAACAAACGGAGCAGGAGGAAAGCTTAGAGAGAGCAGAGACGTTGGAGAGGGAGAGAGCGAGAGAGAGAGAGAGAGAGAGAGAGAGGGGAGCACGGAGAGGAGAATGGCTGCTGTAACAGTCACCACCCCGCAACTTGTGGACAAACGAGGGGCGCGAAGTGCTATATGGTAGTACTTCGGCATAAAAACAAATGAGCAAGGAGAGGCAATTAACGTTGATGCGCCATTGTGTAAACGATGTTTTAAAACATGCATGGCTAAGGGCGGAAACACCTCCAACTTAGCCAAACACCTACAGGACAAGCACCCAGACCTGCACACTGAGTTCAGGGAACGACAGGTCATTTACTCATGACATGTACCCTTCTCAAATGCAATAGTTCAATAGTTTTAAGTGTGCAACACATGATAAAGAGTTCTTATCAAACATAGACATTTTTTTTTCTAAATTTTAATAAAAAAAAATGTGTTTTTTCAAAACGTTAAATGTGGTTACAGCACAGTCCTTCAGTGTTTTACATACATATTTAGACATTTACTATGTTATAAAGACTGGTAACATACCATTTAAAGTCTGATCTTCCCATCCTGGCTCAGTTTGCACGACAATATATGTGCATTTCATAACATTTAGATGTTATTCGAAGATTTTCTATTAAAATAAAGTCAGTAATGACATTTTTTGCATTCTCCTTTTATCTGAAAAACTAGCCAAATGTATCGAAATACATTTTGGTACTGGTACCAAAATGTTGGTATCGTGACAACACTAGTTCACACAGATCAAAATGAACCAGACTTTGGGGTCAAGTGCACTCTGATCCGCACCCGGGTCCCTAATGTGAAACCACCCTAATTCTGAGGTGCTTTCTAAACGTGGACATAGATATCATTAAAGCCATGTTTACGTACTGACCCTATGGTGTCGTGCTGTACGTGCTTGGCATCCAGGCTGGAGTACAGGTCCACGACAGGCTCAAAAGCTCCCAGGCGACAGTAGAGGAGCAGCATCAGCAGCTTGAACTGGGCGTTGGAGGGGCTGTGGGACAGACCCTCCTGGAGGAGGCCCAGACACCGCCACGCCATGTCCTCATCCCCTACAGCACACAGGGCACGCACTCAGAGACATGATCACTGCAACAGCAAAAGATGTGGACTATGACAAAGAAAACCTCACCTGTCTCTGTCCACAGGTCGATGTACACGTGAGCTGCCATGAGACAATACATATCAGAAAACTGCAGCTCCGTCTTCAGAGCGTTCATTCCTGTGAAAAAGACACCAGCGAGTAAGAACAACCCAACGTGCACCAGGGACGTTTAGAGACATTTGTGCATGTAAATGTGAGCAACACGTTAGGCACTGCAGCTTCTTCAGGCTCACTCATCTCATAGTCAGTAACAGGTTCTCATGACTCAGCCATTGGTCAGTTACCAGTCACATGACATACACCAATCATCTCCCATCCATAATATACTTATTCAAAAGACACTACAAAACTTCACCACAGCAAAGAACCAGCAATCAGCATGATACAAAAAGGTCTAAAACATTTACAAACATCTGTGTTACTCAGTGGAGAACCCACAACGGTGCTGACAGACTAACACACTACTGTGTCACACTGGAGGCCACTGGATTGTTTCTCTACTGTGCATTGATGGATAAGAAAAGTCTTAACGTCACAATAAACTACTAGTCGATTACACACATGATGCATCCTAACAATATTTGACAAGCATGTTGCTGCTGCCTGTTAACATCTAAGGGTTTAAAGTGATGCTGGTGGAGGCTTAGCGACACATACAGTAGAAACACTGCTGCAATTTTGCATATGCAAATGTTTTGCCTCACAAACAACAGAAGCAAAACATTTCCACACTTGCTTTGCATGTGAACGTCTGACTGGAAACCACTGGACTTTGGCTGCTTGGAAACCCGGTTCGAGCTCTGCGACGTGTTGAGTCGGGTCAGGTTAACATAGAAAGTGTCAGGTGGGCTGGGTCCTAACATGTAGTGCTAACTTCTTGACATTATTACAGCTTATAATGGACAGTCTGTTTGCACGTTTGTCTGCATAAGAGCCCGCAGAGCTGAACTGTGTCCAGCTAACAGACACCAGCAGTGCTCTGGTCTGACACATCCCTGTTCCAGCTGGCATCCACAGCCTGAGGCGATGGAGCCACGGTTACACTACACAGGCCGGTATGGGAGGTTTTCAGCTGACTGTACATCAAACATCTTTAAAATCCCACCTTAAACCATTTTATTATAAGGTTTTCACACATATTTACAGTGTTTAATGAAGCCATTGTGAACCCACGAGGTCTGAGGATCAATACAAGTGATGTTCTTACCAAACTTGAGCCCGTGACGATAGTGAGCCTTGAGCTCCGTAATGAGCAGCAGTTTTCCATCCACGTCGAGAGAATGATGCAGTCCGAGGGCTCGACTCAGCTGACACACACACAGATGCCTCTGCAGCGCTTTGGTGTCGTCTGGAAAAGCAAAGCCCTCCTCACCCCGCTCTCCAAGTGGAACCGCTTCACTCAGATGATTAATGAACTGCAAAGGAAAGAAATGGGTTTCACAGCCGACCACTTCACTGCACAAGTGGCAGCTCAGCAACACAGCTGAAACGCCATCTTACCTGTACATGCTGCTCAGGAGCGAGCAGGTGCAGGTATAGTTTTAGATCGGTGATGCAGCAGGGTTTGTCTCCAAACTTCCCAAAGAACTGCACCATTAGCTCTAAAGGCTCACCTGTTTAAAGCCAAACAACAGTCACGTACAAAGACTGCAACACCTGGTAGATTTACCGTGTTGGCACAATCCATGTGTGTTACCTAGCAGGCTCTCCTCAGGGCAGCCCCTTTCTCTCAGCCTGTGCATTAACTCAAGCCGAGCTAAATGGGGCCCTCGGAGTGGACGGCACTCTTTGCTGTCCTCACCCTTAATTCTCTCCTCCACAAACCTCACCACCTCAGCCACAGTGTGATGTACAGACCCCTCTGAACAGCTGGAGAAGAGAAGAAGGCACAGATCAACACTGGATAACATTTTGTGTATTCTTCTCTGTTGCTGCCCTCCAACGTCTAGAGGTCGAGAGCAGCACAGGAGCTCACAGCGATTCAAGGACAACTCGGCAGGTAGAACATACTGCAGCCTTCTTCAGACACACACTCCTTTCTATTATAGTGAGCCTGCTACCAACACGCTGGTTCAGGTCTGCTAGAAGCTACTCACAGCTCTGAAAATGCACTAGTGTCCCCTTAAAATGAATGTCCTTTGCACTCACTGTTCGTCTTCTTTGGGCGGACTCCACGACTGATCCATCAGGTGGAAGAGAGAGTCAAAGTAGGAGGGATAGAACTGCCAATCATCAGGACTAAAGAGACAAACACACCAGTCAGTCACTGCAGTCTGAGACCTGAACCTCTTCTCATGCCCATACTCACTTTCTGAGCAGCAGTTTGTGGGCCAGGGCGTTGCACTCCGGCCAGCGCTGCAGCCGCCGGTAGAGCATCATGCACTTGTTTTCTCGGCTCTGCAGCTCACTGGTCAGCTTTTCTGTGGGAAGACGCATGGATAGAAACGGATATCATTTCCTTATAAGGAAAATGAAGTGATGTGATACAGTACATATTAATCACTAACACACCCTGTGAGTGGTGAAACTTGAAGGAGTTTGCTCAGATTACAGGATCTTTTAGTCCTTACAAGTACAGAAACCACATTCACCTACCACCAAGTGGGCCCCTGATCACTTCAAGAGCCTCGACACACTTTCCCAGGCGCTCCAGGATCATAAAATACAGCTGCACCTGAGGTCACACATATAAAGCCAGAAACAACTGTTATTACTACAAGTATCTGTTGTCTGGTTGGAGTTAAAGCAGACCTACAGTACTGACCAGAACATAATGGGATACTTTCTTCTGGAAATTATGTTTGACAACGGTATTCTTGAGAACCAAGTATGTTTTTCCACAACATCAAATATTCTTTTTGAATGGAGAGAAAGCCAGTGTAACAGCAGCTATGAAGAGAGGGTTTTCAAGTCAGTTTATATTCTTTAACAGTGGGTCTGCACTAAAAGAAGAGGACCAGCTTTCAAGAAAACTCTAAAGGTTAGTACCAAACAAAAACAGAACTGGTCAACCTATAATCAGAGTTGTCTTCTGAGCCAATACCGATATTCAAAAAGGTAATAAAAAATAAAAAAAACCTAGACAGTGAAACTGCAGAATAAACCCCACCACTAAAATACAAAAACCCAGCTTTCTTGGCCAGAACAGACCTTGAGCTTAGCAGAGACAATATCTGCAGACACCTGCCTCACCTCTGCTTCCGCTTCTATCTTCTCCTCCTTTACCATCTTCTCCACCATGCGTTCAGCCAGAGGCAGGAACATGGTCTGGGCCAATCTCTCATCTTGTGCTGAGATGGCCTGAACAACAGAGCACACGTAGCATTGTCAGACAAAGATCTGAGGAAAGTGAACACCTGTGTAATAAAATCCTGCTCATACCTGCATCACCAGACTCATGACAGACCAGAAGTAATACGGGTTCTTGGGGACGATTTTATACAAAGCCATTCCTGCCTGTAAAGATGGAAGATCAACATCAACATCCTCTTCGTTATTCTGACTTTGTACATCATGTGTGTTTGCATGTTTACGTGCAAGGTGGAGGCGGGCCTTCTCACCTGCTGCATCTTTTTGTACTCCCCCACCCGAGCGTAGGCCATGAAGAGGTGGGAGTGATACTCCTCACTGAGAGGCACCTTCTTCACTGCAGCTTCATACAGTTTGGTGACCAACTCCGCTGTGAACAGCCATAACGTTTAATACACCGTCACTCACCCGTTAGTATCAGCCTTCATGTGTGTGTGCATGTGTGTACTCACGGCGATGCATCTCTCTGTACAGTATGGTCAGAGCTTGCAGCGAGTTGTCGTCAGTGGGCTCCAGAGTGGCCACTTCCTGAGCCAAAATGAAGGCTTCATCCTGCTTTCCAGTCCTCTGGAGGCCGATGGCCTTTAGGACCTGAGTAGGAGAGGAGACAAGAACAGAGCAATAAGGAGACAAGGAAACCAGAGTGAGGGACTGTCCATACGCCAGCTGTGAGGAGCCACAGGAACGGCCAAGTCAGTGTCTGGAAAGGCAAATAGGAACATTTCACAGCCAACTCTGAGAATTTAGTTGTTTTTGTAGTGCGAGTGCAACACAAGCACACCAGCCGCCTCAGTGTGGTGCAGAAACTCAACACTGAGCTGCTGCTAAATTGCCACCACACTGTCACATACTGCTATTGTAAGAATACAGACTCTAGCTGCCTGCCGTCACATCTGAAGAGCTGTGAAGATGATACAAACTAGGCCAATAAAATAGACAAGTATTGTTTGAGGCACACATTTCAAAGTAAACAAACATCACATCTGTGTGCCCGATGTTTGAGGGGACACAGAAAAGGAAACTAAACACACCTGAAAGTCTGCTTCCAGAGAGTGTGATGTTATTAGTTTCTGCTTTAGTGCATGAACGTGATGAAACAAAACACACTAATCAGTCTGTTTTATCGCTCTCTCATTTGCTTTGTTCTCTCACTGCTGTGCCCTCTCTTTCATTCACAGTCTGTTTTGTTATCCAGAAAGCCGACAACATGTTGTAGTTTTTTTTAAAAGACAACAATGGTCCACCTTCGTCCTGCCAGCAACCCCAGTACTTCCCTGTTTTGTGAATGATGCAGTACACGCAATGCAGCAGAAGCAAAACTTTGACCCACAATAATCAGCAACGTTCAGTGTGACAAACTGCCCCGATAGTTTGTCACCCACAGCAAAGTCCTTCCCTGATGATTGGACCTGTTCCACACCTGGAACTCCTGGAACTCCTGGAACTCGTCAGTTCACGGTTCCTTCGGTCAAATGCAGGTGGAGTTCACGAGACTCGTCAGTTCACGGTTCCTTCGGTCAAACGCAGGTGGAGTTCACGAGATGTTCTGAACAGCGAACGGTGTATCAATACATTTCCTCATGAGAGACAGACTAACACTTTACAGAGCTCCTTCACACTGATGTTTTATGGTCTGGCAGCAACGCAAGGGCTTGTTTATTGCAAACAATGAACAGAATCCACATGAAAACAGGACAGATAAACCCAAGTGTGTACACGCACGTGTCTGAGTTGCACATGATTGCATAAACAGTGACATCTACTGTGCTGTAGGTGCGATACTATACCAAGTACAGTACACAATGACAGTGTTAAGTCTGACAAATGAACCTAATGTTTCAATCACGGCTGCTCAGCGTTCACATCTTTGTTGTCGACCACATTCTGGTTGTGATCTTACAGGTGATCCATAACTGGGACTGAATGAGACGACTGACCAGACTCGACCTGGGCTATTATGTTCTTGGATCTGACAGATTGAAGGCGAAGACATACACTTGCATATCTTACCAGAAACGTGTGCATGTGCAGAAGTGGAGGGATGTGCAGAGAGACGTTATGACAGAGTCTGTACTGTGTTATCCAACAGCTGAGAGTCCTAGAACACTGCATGGTCAGAGAGCAGGGTCTCTCAGAGCTGCATCGGGGCAGCGGTAGTGTCTTTGTAGGTGCAGGTTCCAAAAATGGAATCTGCATAGAGTGAGGAACAGAAGTATTTGAACACCCTGCGAGTTTGCAAGTTCTCCCACTTAGAAATCATGGAGGGGTCTGAAATTCACATTGTAGGTGCATTCCCACTCTGAGAGACAGAATTAAAAAAA